TGCTCGTTACATCTACATTTTGTTGATCCAAGCAAAAATAATCTTAAGAAATATATGTTTAATTTAACCTTTAATTTTATTGATTACCATTACCTTTCATGTCCATACCTTTTCTATCGCACTTGTGTCTATATATCATGTATTTCATCTTTTGCGAAAGCTGCGCCTTGAGCATTTGATTGTCAATCGTATGTATGTATTATTATTATTAAAATATTATAGCTGCTATACAACCTCGTCGGAATAGATTCACATACAATCCATGCATATTGTGCAGTAACCCTAATCCTTAGTAAATATCATAAACAAATTTACTTAATGTTATTAGTATTATGAGAATGATTGGACGGTGGATTATACCCACATTAGCATGTCTTATAAATTCTTAAGTCTATACCTCGGCAAGGATAAGGCATTTTGGCTCTGTTAACTTATGGAAAATCATCTTGTTCGAAGTGGTCCCCCCCCCCCAAAAAAAAAAAAAAAAAAAAAAGATCCCCGGTTGGACAGTGGACTTGCATTTAATAAACCTAAAATAAGTCTTTCAGTTGAAGACTTTTTGTTGTTGTTGTTGATGATCAAGCTGATGATTCGTGATTTCATGTCGTTAGAGAACAATTTCAACATTCGGGCATAATGTTGGGCAATTTGCATAAACTTGTGAGCCCAATGTTCCTTTATGATGCATGATAGGTCTATTCCCAGCTTCTGAAGGGAGTTTAATTCTCTTCTGATGTTTATTTTGTAATTTAATGTCATTTATAGGTGCCAAAGGTCAAGTAAAAATCAGAATAGTTATCATGGAATGTTGACTAAATTTTAATTGTCTTCAATAATAATTTCACATTACGCGATTATTGCATGAGAATCTCAGGTTAGTCACATGCAAAGTATTATGATACACATGATATACCGAGCATCTATTTTGTTTGTCTCTTTTCCTCTGTTCGACCTATTTACATTGATTTTTAGTTTTGACAGTATCTGCAGCTGAAAGTTCTATTCTACTGCAACGAAATTATCATTTAAATGATTAATAATCTCTTAAGTCTTTTATCAATCAATTAATACTTACATTCGATACTAGGCCTTATCATATAACATGGAAAGGGGACAATAGTTCGTAAATTACGTGAAAAAACTAGTTTTTGTGGGGGGGGGGACGAGCATGTGCCCCTGTGTACCACTCCTCCCAGCATGAGTTGCCGCTGTTGCAGTATGTTTATATTCGCTGTAGGATATGAGTGAAACGGTGTGGTATACTGATATACAAAAGAAAACTTCAAACGGTTTGTGAATTAAAAGCTATAGCATTATTTTTCCACAAATTGTAATTTTTCATTATAACTTTTCAATGATAACAACATCGTGACCTTAAATGGACCAGACTACCTTGCAATCAAACTGGAAGCTCAAATATTTTGATTTAGATGCTTTCATTTGCCTTTATATTGTTCAATTACAAATATATGTGGTATTTATAGAATTCAGTGTTTTATTGATGTGTAACCGATTATAAACCACGGCAATGGCCGTGGTGGTTACATCCACCACCCAGGAACGGATTCAGGGGGGCACAGGGGGCACGTGCCCCCCGGCCGCCCAAAGATATGTTAAAATCACCCCTAAATTCGCTAAAATGTTACCGAAAAATAGGGACATGCCCCCCGGGCCAATTTTTTGTTTTGTTTGTTTGTTATTACAATTAAAAAATAATAATAAAATTAAAAATATATATATATATACAAATGGCTGACCTTAAAAGTTGACCTTACCCCCCCCCCCCTTCTGGCTGAGTCGATTCTTTGGGGACCTAAACAAAACAAAAAAATTAAACATGATTGGTACATGCATAATCAAGTGAGAAGCTTTAAATCTAAATATGAGCATGTTTTGAATTTGTTTTTAAATTTCTAAATTACAAATTTATGACCTTTTCTATAATTCTAAGGTTCTTGGTCCGTTACCATGGTAATAGTCCTAGTTGTCACACCGAACTCAAACTTTAGGGCATACAAGAACATTCTGATAGCTAAATGTTATAATGAAAATACTAAATTTAAGATTATGTCTAAGGGGTTGGGGCTTATTCATTTATTGGCCCATGGACTACTAATACCTGTGAAAATTGCCTTATGTACGTACGGCACATGTACACTGTACTTGGAGTGTTTTCCACTCAAATTGCGCATCATATAAAAAGGCATCAACGCAATTGGCAACGCTTAAATAATTCATTTTCCATCACATTATCTGATCATTTCTTTTTCTCTGGGCCACATCACGCGTCATGACGTATTCTTCATTCACCCCAAATCCCACTCGTTTTACACGCTGTGCTTGTGAGCCCTATTTACGTCCCTTCCTCTATCCCGATTCATTTCAAACATCGTAGGCATAGCCTCTAGATGATCCCATCAGAGACATAAATCTCCTCGTTTTCCGAAAAAGTCGGCTAATTATAATTTAAACAAAAACAATCTCATTTGCCGTGGTATAATCATTACTTCATCTGAAAATACGTAAACGTTTGGTATAATAAAGAAATGAAAAGAACCTTCCCCCAACCCTACAACTCTTACAAATTCCATGCATTTTGTTTCTGGAACTAACAATTCATGCGCCAATTGGGTAACAAACAAGGGCTGTCGAGCGACTTCCAAAGTGGGGAGGGGGCACCAAGAAAAAAGGGCACTTTCTGGAAAAAAGGGCACCTACAAAGGGAAATCTCAAAGTGAAAATATACAATTTTTTAGACATTGGTAAATACCCCTACATTGTGATTACAGTTATCAGGGATGATTTCAATATTTCGTCGCTGTTTTCACGAAGTGACGGTAGTGAAAAAAAATTGCATTCACTTTGCGTTACGATTTTCCTCACTACCGTCACTTCGTGAAAACAAGGACGATTTGTTTCAATTTATACACCCTACAAGACATTGCTTAAGCATCATGCTTTGCAGTTGATTGTCTAAAAAATTGTTTGCGAGCGAGGAAAATTGTTTAAGATGTGTGAGGTCGCTGTGCGAAAAATTACATCTTATAAAGAGGGGAAAAAACCAATCCAAATGGGATTATAAGCACATTCTCATAACGGAAGACTGAACAGACCTTTGATAAGTAACATAAGTACATCATGTATAGATGCGTGCGAGGGGGCAATTGGGGGAAATTGCTCTTGAAATTAGCTAGTGCGCGTTTAATGATGAGAAAAAAGGGGAAACTTTTCAAGAAAGAAAAGGAGCATGTGCCAAAGTACACTGTCGCTCATATAGTTGGAATATTTTTGTTTTACCCCAATTTATGGAATTATTTTTAAAATAATTTATTCCTAATAGATCTAGATAATAGTATACATTCTCAGATGTTATTGAATAATAATTTGCCAATGTGTGTTTTGCGTGACTACTAAAGCATGTGTATGCTACTATGCTTATCAACTAGGAGACCAATGCCCCTAAGTCATAAATGACAGTAATGAGGATTAATGCCCCACAAAAGGGCACTAATATAGCACATCGACACGGTTTTTATCCTGGGGCCTCACAGTTACGAGGCCATTGCTTTGTCACTGAATCATGACGGTACGCAGCGGTCTCTAGGGTAGGGGGCAGTTTCCATAAATAAAAAAACACAAAGAAAATGCAATAATGCATGGCCGTACAGAGCATTTTTTCTCGAAGTTCTGACTCAATTATCCCATTGTGGTCTGTGGATTGAGGTACAGACTTCCGATGCTTAATAGATCATGTGTCAGCGTTACTAGCTGATGGAAATTATATTTCATGTTATGACAATATTGATTGTTATTCAACAAAATCTGTTTATTTAAATTCATCAATATTATAAATGACTGAAGTATTAATTGATTGATTTTCTTCTCTTTCTTGCAGGGCTTTGTTTTGGTTTCGTCTGATGACAAAATAAAACGATGAACTAAAAATACACCACGTCTACACTTTCCTTCATTGGAAGTTTACCCACGACATTATCATCCGACAAAGGTGTACCCTTCTTATTTCAGAGGTGATATATTGACGTCATGGCAAACGGCTCAATCTTATACCCATTGCTCGTCGCGTGTCTCATCGTTAGCTCGTCCTTTCAATCTGTACATCGACACGATGGAGATTCGCCGATGATATCCTTAATACTGGACATAGACAAATCTTTCCATGGATGCGATCAGAATCTTGAACTGAAAAAAGCTTCTTGCAGCAATAAAGGCCTGGATACAGTTCCCCAAAAACTTTCTGATGATACCAAGGTGCTTGACTTGTCTCATAACAATATCACCAAACTCTTGAACTCCTCGTTTGAAGTATACCCTCTAATTAACTCCTTGGACATTTCTCACAACGATGTAAGATCGATAGAATCGGGCGCTTTTTACCCCCTAAAGGGCTTAATTAACCTGTCTCTATTGATGAACCAGCAGCTTGTGCTTCCAGCAACAGGCGTCTTTATGATGTCTTCACAGCTTTCCATGCTCGATTTAACGTCAACAAACTTGAAGTCGCTCCCCAATGACATTCTAAAATGGAGTCCACACCTAGATACTGTTGTTCTGTTCATGAACCGGCTCTCCTTCATCAATGTGAGTTATTGTGGCATGGCCGACCAGGTATACATGACTACTAATCAAATAAAACACCTTACGGCGGGAGATTTCACCTTTGTGTGCAACACTACTATTCTAAATCTTATACAAAACCCAATCCAATCCGTAGACCCTGATGTGATCGCATCATTACATGTTCGCTCTCTGATGCTAGGTGGCTACCCTTTGAGTGACGAGGTGTTAACGAACATCATCCTCGGAATCTCAAAATCAGACATCGATGAGCTTATTATCCAGAAAGGCTCTGTCGGTGCGTTTCCTGAAGGTTTCTTTGATCCACTGCGCGATTCTTCTCTCTCTCTTCTGTACTTAGAAAACAACAGACTTAAAAGCGTCCATCCTTTGGTCTTTTCAAATTTAACAAAACTCAAAAAATTAATTTTCAATCATAACGAACTCCCCATCGACATAATTCAACCAGACTTTTTCGAGGGCATGAAGGCATTAAAGGTACTAATAATCAACAACAACCAAGTAAAACAAATAAATCCTCAAAACCAGACTTGGACAGTTGACTTATCGGAGTTAGACTTATCCGGTAATATGATTACAAACATATCTGCATCTGTATTTCGGGGTTTAGGAAATTTAACTTTCTTAAACATGAGCTATAACAGACTACTTGGTGTCTTTGAGCTGACGGCCTTTTCGGGACTTGACAATATTCAAACCATTGATTTGTCCGGATGTCAATTATATACAAATTTGGAATTGAACACCCCAATATTAAGATCACTTTTCCTTAACTCTATTAATCCGTTAGAGATCGGGGTTCATATCGGACCAGCCTCGTTTAAACATTTACATTCTCTTGTTAAGTTAGACATGAAATACGCTGGGCTTGACATTACGAATAACATATGGAATGGAAACGTGTCTCTTTTCGATGGATTATTGGGTCTTAATCATTTGGATTTGAGTAGAAACCTTTTCCCGAGTTTTTTACCGCCAGGGATATTCCGGCAACTCTCTGTTTTACAAGAGCTAAATCTAGAATATTGCCAAATTGGAAATCTACATCCTCTTGTCTTCTCGGGGTTGGAATCGCTTCAGAAGTTGAGTTTGAAAGGAAACAACATCCAGCATATTCATGATGATGTATTGTCGGGGTTGGGTCAAGTAAACATTATCGACTTTGAAGGAAACCAGATCATATACTTGGATGAGCTAATGTTCTCAAATAACCGGAATCTCACAAATCTTTCTTTGGCCGACAACAAATTAACGCGCTTTAATCAAAAGACATTCAAGCCGATTTTTTCCTCCATTTCTTCACTTGATCTATCAATGAACCCATTTGATTGTAACTGTGATCTAAAGTGGCTTATTGATTGGATAAATAAACCTATACACCTGATAGACAAGGACAAAACTATTTGTTCGTCAGAATCTCTGGAGCCTTTTCGTGAGAAACCCCTGCTTGATGTTGATCCAAATGAACTCTGTATAATAAATGGTCTATTGTTTCTGATTCCCCTTGCCTCCATTGGCTTGGTTGTAACCAGCGTGCTGTTGTATCACTTCCGATGGCAGTTGAGGTACAAACTCTTTCTCTTAAAACTGGCCGCAGTGGGCTATAAAGAGATGCGAGACGCTCGAGACCACAATGACTACGAGTTTGACGTGAACATCATTTTCTACGACGATGGCGAAGATGACGAAGAATGGATTCGCGAACAGCTCCGACCGGCTCTCGGAGAACGGCTACCACAGTTTCAGAGGAACGTCTTCGGTGACGAAGACCTCGTATTGGGTATGCATTATTTAGATTCCGTTGATTACGTGGTGAGCCACAGTTACAAGACCATCATAGTGCTTAGCAGAGCTGCTGTGCAAGACCGCTGGTTCTTACTCAAGTTCCGGACGGCCATGGACCACGTGAGTGACACTTTGACTGAATTTGTAATCGTGGTCTTCCTCGAAGACATCCCAGATGACGAAATGCCATTCTTGGCGAGGTTGTATCTTAATGATGGCAGACCCTATATCCACTGGACTGAGGACGCAAGAGGACAAGAATGTTTCTGGAATGAATTGACCAAAAATCTGACCATTAATCTAAGGACAAATGACTTGATCCCAAACGAGTAGCATAACAGTCATGTAGGAACCTAGAGAAAGTAAAGAAAGTGTTTGTCGTCGTAGTAGTAGTAGTAGTTGTCATAGTAGTAGTATATTAATCGCTCTACTAATATTGTTACTGTTATACATAATTGTCTTCACTATCATCAGTATTATTATCATTGTACTATTATTATTAATATTATCATTATGATTATTATTATCATTGTTAACATCATCATCGTCGTCATCATCATCATCACCATCGCCATTAGCATTATTGTTTCTGATGTTCTTGTTCTTGTTTATGTTAAAGATTTACATTGAAACTTTAATCTGAAAGAAAATCGGATAGATAATTGGCAATCATAGAATTAACGTGTATCATCGTGGTATGATGGTTTTATGACATGGTTGGATGCAAATCTTTATAATACGTGTATGCTTGTAAGTGTCGGCTTGTATGGTGATGTAGATTATACAGTAGGCTTGCGGGTGCACCATGTGAGAGAGAGGGAGGATTGAGGAGTCCTGAAAAGGACTCTCGGTAATCTTTCTTGAGGGTTTTGTAGTCCAGAAAAGGACTGTTGGTATAGTCTTGAAAAAGACTGTTGGTTATCTTTCTTAGCTTATAGTTCTAAGGAGAACTATAGCGCTAGGAGAGGAAGAGGGCGGGAGTAGCTCGACGTTTCGAACAGGTTGACTATCCGTCGTCAGGAGTGTTCGAAACGTCGAGCTACTCCCGCCCTCATTCTCTCCAAGCGCTATAGTTCTCCTTAGAACCATAAGCTAAGAAAGATAACCAACAGTCTTTTTCAAGACTATACCAATAGTCCTTTTCAGGACTATAAAACATTCCAGGAAGATTACAGAGAGTCCTTTTCAGGACTCCTCAATCCTCCCTCTCTCTCTCACATGGTGCACCCGCAAGCCTACTGTATAATACTTGTAACGCAGTTTCTCTCTGTTTTTCAATATTAGAATTACAATCACCATTTGCTGAATGAGAGAATTTGCATTTAAAGGTTTATACTTACTGATTCCCATTACTCTAAGGCTTAGCGCACACTTCACGATATGACTGCGATCGATTTTGGAAGAATTTACAACAGCATTTTATATGAACATTTCAACATGTAAAATGTTTGAGGATTTGATTATTCATGGATTAATAGAATCTAACTTTTAGGGGATTAGATTTCAAGCTTACTTCTTCAATAAACAGATCGCAGCCGGATCGTGTAGTGTGCGCCGATAAGTGTTAGTTAAGTATTTATGGAGAAGTGAATCTCTTCAAGGCAACCAAAAAGCCATGTACATGAAACCTCTTTATCAACGAATTTTTCTGTAGATTAAGATTTGGAACATAACCCGAGAAGCTATAATGATAATTCGAGGTAATATTAAGGTTTTTTCTCAGTGTCTTTTTTAATACAACATTGTATCTTAAATCTCTCGGTGTCAAGGAGATTATCTCAAGAATACCGATCTCTGAAAATGTATAAATTCTCGCCATCGAACATGTCGAACATGACTGTTGATATAGCTTAATGCTTTATAATTATATACATTTATGTACATTTATGTAAATTATGCCAGTCACAACAACATGTGCATGTTTTAATAGCATTTGAATACTTCACACATTATTATCACATTGCTGTATGATAGTTCACCTTTTCATTGTAAAACGCTGTGTCAAAGGAATATTATGGCTTATTACAACAAAATTTATGTGTACCCGTGTTTCTCATAGTTTAGACGAATAGGCCAAAACTATGGATGTATGGAGCGAGAAAGGAGGAGGACGGGGTGTCCCCGTCTAATTTGAATATTTTTAAACATGCATAATCAGTGATGAGAAATGCGAGATCCTGAAAAGTAGCAATCTGTTGTCTTTTCAAAACGAACTTACAGAAGATAATTATGGAGTGAGAGGGATTTTCTTCTTTCAGCCAGGAAAATTTAGGACATTATTTTTACCCGGAAATATGAACATAAAAACGAATGTAACTGTCAAACGTGTCCTCCTGACAGCCCGTGGAAATGTAGTCATACAATGAACAATGTTTCCCGTGCAATAGGAGAGGGGGGAGATAGTGACAACAATTTGTACTATGTCAAAATGGCATTGAAATCACCACCCCCTTCTTTTTAGACCTGTTATAGAGCCATGGCGATTTTCTGTTTGATTATTCTAGTCATGAGTCTAGCTACTGTCCGCATAAAAATATGTATTTCTTGATTTCTTCATAGCATTAGTCTGTCATAGTCTGTGCTAGATATTTATATTTCTTCTTGAAACGATATCTGCTCTTAGGCTGACGGATGTTTTCGAAACCTCGTACCCCGCCACCCTAATTACACGTGCGTACCTGACTTCGTGAATGTTATCACTATTACTTGGAAGAGATGAAAACATAATAATAATAATCATGATAATAATAATAATCTTTTGTCCACTCCAAATTTTATTAAACCGAAAATGGAAATTCTTTTTGCCCAATTGATCGTGAGCCCGGCAGCCACTGAACAGCGCCAAATCGACGTTGCTCTATCCCTTATTGTTGAACGCCAAACAAGGTAGCTCTTTTAACGTCTTTTGGTATGACGCGGCCGGGGTTCGAACCCACGACCTATCCAGTTGTGAGGCGGACGCTCTACTGACTGAGCCAACACACCGGTATGATATCAAGAGAAAGAAAAATGGATTTGGAGAGGAAGTGAATGACAGGTTGAGGTGATTAATCACATGTAAATCAAAACGAAGAGAGAAAGAGATATGGTGGAGTGGAAAACGGATACAGAGAGAATGGAGGTGAATATTGAGAATGATTTATGTGTTTGTGGAGATGGAAATTCCTGCAAGACTCATTATTATATTTTAGTCTGCCAATGACTTTGTGGGCAATTACTTTCTTAACTTGTAGCGGAAGGGAGAATCAACTTAAGATTGATATAGGAATAGTTGAGTTTTGATATGGAGAGTACATTTTTGGTCAAACTAAATGTGAGAATCCAAAATCTGCACCATTACATTTCAAACGAATTCTCATAGCTGCATCATGCTCGAAAGGTATACACAAATTACAAACGACTTAGTAATAATCCTGTTGACAATTAAGAGAGCCGCTAAACTACATGTGGGCATTCTCTAAAAAGTCATTGGTTTCAACCATTTTTAATAATAAAATTATGCATGTTATGTTGTGTTAAAATAATGGTTAAATAGAAATACCATCAACAACTAATTAAAAACATTTGTTTGAAAAGTGTAAGCATTTTGTTGTCTTTCAACGGCTGGTTCAAAATTAGCGAATATTTGTGGAGCCCCACAAATATTAGAAAAGGTCATATCTATGGATATTTCAGCCGTTTTTTAACCGATTTTGAGCAAACATAAAGGGTGTTGTCATCTATATTGTATGCTCTTTCGAAGTTGACACTCAGTTTGTCATTATCTCACCCCCCCCCCCCCCAAAAAAAAAAATGTACAGCGCCCTCTATACCGAAACTCAACTATCATTGACATGAACGACATGGTCTGATTGAACATGTTGACGTATAAGAGGGATTATTTTAATATTCTGTAACATTACGATAGCCATGAAATAATTGTGTCATTAATACATCATGTAGGAAGGAGGCTAAATTAAAAACATTGTGTTATAGAACTTATTGTGTGTATAGTGTTTTGTTGTTGTTCTTCTTCTTAGTTTTAGTTTATATTATGTAAACGATATGGGTTTACTCATGGTCATGGACCCTGGACCTTTTTAACACAAAGAGAGAGATAGAGAGAGAGAGAGAACGAGAAAGAGGGAGAGAGAGAGAGAGAGAGCCAAATAGTGACTTTGCCTGGAAACCACATAAATCTATGTCCGATCCCCATCAGTCATACCATGATATACGGCCTGTTACACTTTTTATATCATGTCACAGTATCGTAGGTGAAATATGATATTTCATACAGCTGGGTTTGTAACAAGGGTGAAGGAGAAAGAAAAACACATTTGAAAGCAACATTCTGAAAGGAAATGTACTTTGATTGAAATCATTTGCAATGATGTTCACGTACTCTGTAGGTTCAACATTAAAGACAAAAAATAACCGATCAATGATGGTAAACTTACGAGCGTGCCGGGTGCGTAGAAGCTCAAACTCATGCTCGTCTAATAGATTCTTTAGAGTAAAATTACGATGAAAAACTATTTGAAGTTGAAGCATGTCTAAATTTGGTTATTACTTCGTTTCGCTTTGATACAAACATTCCTCACTAAAATAATATACGAGACCATTTGACCAGACATATAACTGAAGTGAAACAAGGAAACACTATTTTATTTTCTGTTTATGACACTTTACCTGATATTCAAGTCCGCCACCCTTAACAAGATTTTACACATATAAATGTATCATAATGTAATTCAGGAATTAAGTGAAAACCCTAAAACGTTAATAACTACATTTCTGCACTTAGTTATACAATATGCTATGCCTGAGCCAAAGAGGACTTTTAACTGGGCTAAGAGGGCTAGGCTAATGTTGAATAGATTGAGAAAACCTGAATTTACAAGAACTTTTCTTTTTTTGCAGCGTTCTACATTAGTAAATTCCATAATTTTAAAGAAAAAATATATTTGGTCAAAAAAATAGAAATTACAATTTTATGACATTTTTAGTAAAAAATTCGCCTGGCATCCACCCGCATCTTATTAATTAGTATTTTCGCAAGAGTTAAAGCATGGGTGCCATGCATGACCCTAAAACGCCATGAAATCTTTTTCTAGAACCCTTTTTGTGTGTGTGTGTGTGTGTGTGTGTGTTTGGCTGCCGGGCATTTCTGCGTGAAATAAACCGTATTTGGTGTCATTCAAAAGGGCATTTCATTGCATTCATTCTGAAACCATTGTCATCTGTGCAAATTGTACTGCAAGCCTAAAACGTTTTGTTATATATAATATAATGCATAGTAAATCCATCATTTTTGCGATAACTTTGCGATGACGTCATCAAAGTATATAACACAAAAGTATAAAGATCGCCATTTAAGACCAA